AACTCTAATTTGTTTTCTTTAATTCAATTCCTATCTAGTTTCTGTAGCCTAATTAGAAGTATGGAGATGATTTCAAGTTAATTAATCAATATTAACCCTATAAGGGAAAGCCTTTATTCATATCCTAGTGTTATCTTGTATGACGATTTCAATATAATTATCGAAATTAATCACTTAATTAGGTTTATCATACAATCACGCTCTTAGTTCCCAAAGGATTACAGACAGTATCGATTGTACAATTAATTATTATTATTGCTATCTGATAAAGTATGAATAACATCCTAATTTGATGAATTTGAATATAAAATTCTTCTGCTCTCACAGCGCAGAACAATTTTCCTTGATTTCGTATACAAATAAATGAATTAGGAGTGTAGAGGTAGAAAAAAGCAAATAAAGATTCTTCTATACAAATGATTGTTCATACGTTTATATGAACACTGCGTGCCGGCTAATACCTTTCATATCATCAATTAAAGTTGGACGTTAAATAAATGAAATTCTTTAGATGCGCTATTGCGATGAGATAATTAATCCGGATGAATGCAATATCCTCAATAAGATAATAGTCGATGGCTGCTCTTAATTAATTTAAATTGAACATTGGTTTCTAATTAATTTTTTTATGAAACAAATTTAAAGGTGTTCTGCTTAATATGATGTTAGTTGTTAAAACAGAATGGTTCTTCTCCTCCATATTTTGATATTACATAATTTTAATTCGATTCCACAAACTTAAAGAAGTTTAATAGATTTTTTGTTAACATTCTGAACTTCGTGGATATTTCACATATCATGCATTTTTCTGTGGATGGGCGGAATACGACAAAACATTTTCATAAAATATGGACCTTGAGTTTCTACGTATTAAAATAGGCAAATACAATTTTTTTCGATATTTACACAGCACAAATAAATTTCTTTCTTATGTAGGCACTCCGCTTTATGAAAAATGGTTATCCCGCTTAGTATTTAGGATACGGTAAATATTATGCCTTCTTTCCAAGACAATCCCTGCCTTAGATTTATAGACTTATCAATCAAAAGTTTGTCCATTGTTTTCCTCAAACTTATTGCCAGGTCACGGGAAGATATTTATTTATGACAATACAAAGAAATGAATTTGGAAGTTCCCGTTTCAGAAGGTGTGCTTAATATTTTGTCGCCGTCTTCGGAGGCTGATTAATTTAATCCTTTTAGCAATAAAACGCCTCCATTCCCCAACCTTAATTATTATATAAGGCCGCTATAAAATCAGCTGAATAAGTCTCCATTAACTGCATTGAAATTATGGATATCAAAAATGTTTGTGAATTCATTACGGAAAGTTTGGTTTGCTGAATTATGGAAGAATATCTTTCCGCGGCCTCGTTAATTAGGTTTAAATTAAAACTTAACAAGTAAGGTAATGAAGGTGAAGTAACTTTATTGTTTTTGAAGTTATTTATTACGGCAATGCCAACGTACGGTAGATTGCCGTTTTTTGATCTTGTATACCCGATTTCAGAACAATTAGCAAGGATTCTATGTGTCTTTAGTATGTTATTTTCATGCTTAGTATATTGGTAAGTTATTATAAAACTGTTAGATTTCTCGATTCTTATTATATTAGGATGTGGTTTACAGTACTCAATACTACAATTACATAGTTACCGCAGGAACGTTTTTAGTAAACGGAGGAAATACCTTATAATAAAACAATCGTTTGATCAAGAAAGTAAGAAAAAGAAATCATTACTATGACTAATTTTCCAAAGGTTATAAACAAACAGGGCCCAAACATTAAGGACATCTGTCGGACCAACGTAAAAGAAAGTTTCCTTTGACCCGCGCCTATTTACGTTACAATAAAAACTAAGCCGTCATATTTTCTTCGTCAGAACCTTCTGGGTAGTGAAATAAAAGTCGAAACAACTAGCCACTGAATTTCAGGCTTATTTTGCAAAGCTAAAGTTTTGAAAGCGTTTAAATTCAGTTATACCAAGTACCAATACTGTTCCAAGAACCTTTTCAAAACTATTCTTTACGTGACCGCTTTGTAACAACTAACAATGGCGAATAAAATTTCCTCATGTAGTGTCAGAATTAAATTTACTGTCTTTAACATGACTCTCAGCAAGTGCCGTATTTACATCACCCATTGAACTATTTCTTTTAATCTTGCATCAGTAATAATGTTTGGATTTCTATTGTTCGAATAAACTATGAGCTACTGTCACTATGTCCAAGCCAAATGCCGTGTTTAATGTGATAACTACGAATTCTTATTATGATATGTATCACTTATTTTGAAATAGCACAAAGTGCGCGTTTTCTGTATTTTAAATGAGCGAAAGTAATCGTTTATCATTACAAAAATCAAGTACTTTAATAAAAACTAACGTACAGGGAGAAAACCACATCGTTCAGTGTTATATGTGGTGAATTGCGTTTTCACACCACATAACACCATAAAAATAATTCCATTTTTATTCATTACGTGGTGTTGTGCTCATTTCCACGTTTGCCGCGCGTTTACTTGGACAAAATGGCAAAGACGTAATAAGAGTTCTTAACATCGATTTAGATATTGGTTCCACAAACACTAATTGTTTTTTTATGAGATAAGCCATTAAATGAATTGATGGGTCACTTGATGGTAAGCAATAGGCGCCGCCAATGGACACCCGAAACACCAGAGGCGTTACAAATGCGTTACCGGCCTTTTGGGGCTTAGGAATTTGAGGCTTGCTGGGATTCAGGGATTGGAGAGATTGAGGAGGGGGGTAATCGGGCCTCCAGTAACCCCTCTCACAAGACGAAACACAACGCACGCGTTGTTTCACGTCAGAGGTATCATTTCGGTCGAGCCGACCTTTTCGTGTCGATGCATGGTTCCCATACTTGATTACTGTTAGTAGTATTTTGAAAATGAAAATCCTAATAGTTTACATAATGAGTTTGATACTATTAATTTAGAAATAAAACGTGACTTTTCGTTTATGCTAGGAATGAAGCCACATTTAAACAAAAAGCCGCTATCAATAATTGGCACTTAAAAAGAATTAGCGTCAGAAGTTTCCTTGTTACCTTCTAATTAAAATTCAACAACATTTTACTTTTTCACTTAACTTTCGTTTTACTGTTGGAAGCATTTTGCTTCTCAAACAAGACACGGAATAGGTTTTGTAAACTCGAACCCACTTACTTAGTGTGTTATTTTACACTGAAAACTTAATGGACTGAAAAAGAGACTGAAATTAATTATGTTATGTGTTATTTATAAAAAGCTGTTTGTACAAACAAGTAGGTACCTAATTTAATACGAAAGGTCGTCCAGTTGAAACCATTCCCATTCTATGTTTTAAATCAAGTACCATGCAGTTAATATTTATATTTCGTTAAGATTTCAATAAAAAATAAGACCAATAAAAAAAACTTTTCTGTTAAATCCAGAGATATTAATTTACATGACTTATTATTTTTAAAACATTGCTTTTATATCGCTATAAATGCTAGTAGATTTAACCACTATATAGAAACAAAATAAAACCAGTAAGTACCTTTCTCAGTCGACATAATAAAATAGCTACACCAACTTTAAAAGTAGGTACTTAATAATTACTTTTGTTTGTGTCTCCGGGAAACTCCAGTCTAGTGGAGTCATATTCAAATGTGGGTTGAAAGCAAAGATATTCGAATAATTAACACAACTGACATATCAAATGTAGTACGAAAATGTACAACAGTTTAGACAACAAAGGCTTGATATTAATGACGGTGGAAGATGAAAAGGCAGAGCTTACAACACACATTTCATAGTTTTGGTCGTCTAATACTAAATACTACTATTGAATTTACGTAATGAAATGCTAGATAAGACAAAACATGTATTTTAAACAGGGACTATGATATTAGCTGTGGAAGTCATACTTTAACAGGTATTTGGCTATAATTTTGTACTAAAACTAGTTACAAATATCAGACTATACACAATATAATTTAAAGCATTAATAATATATAAGCCTTACTTAACAAGTAGTGTTAATATTTAAACTAGAAATACGAGAGAAACTGCCGACGATAGCTAGTATCTAAGCACTAATAACTAAGGCTGTCTTGAGGACTCGTTGCGGTGGGCATACAAATATCTAGTAGGACCCAGACGATTAATTATTCAGTTCTTACCCCAGGCTAATTGAGAAGACGCTAGAAAAAGAAAGAAAGAGCAGTCTAGTTTGCTTAAATGATTCAATGAAATTGTATTATCATTATTAAAAAAGATATTTTTAATCCTTCTAAAGCTATCTTTATGAGATGGCATGGGTGGCTATTTCATTGTTGTTTTAAAAGAAAATGGGACTTACACTCTGTTATAATCATTTTTAAAAAAGACGAGAATAACCTACACTTAATCAACAAAATGAACGACGTAGAACCGTAAAACAGCTTACTCGTATTTAATAAAATTGCAAAATAATATTCATTGCGCTAGCTTTAACCGCCGACATCACACCGATAAAGCAAAGGCTTACATTTTATCGAGTATGGAATTATCAGATCCCTAAAAGTAATAACGATTTGTTGCAAAGCTGAACCAATAAATCCATATTTTTCTCCAGCCGGACTAAAGCGATAAATTTCATACCGGAATACTATACCCGCGTATGCTTGCAAAACAATAAATTGCGAACGCTGGCCGCACACTCTAGTCATATTCATAAACCAATGAACGACTAAAGGTTTTATTTAATCATTAGCATTTCCAACCGTAACGCGTCCATTTTATTGCTCTTTAATTATAATGTGCCGTGCTGAATTTGAATTTGTCATTATCTCTAATTTATTTTGAACCAGCTTTTGTCGTTACGTTTGTTTTGAACCGGACGTACAATAAGATATACTTTTACGTATACGTTTTTCAATTACAAAATAACTGTAATTTTGAGAAAATTCTAGAACACAAGATATGCTACTTTTATATTTATATTAATTGTCACATTTTGTTTCTTTCGCAGGGGTAGTATTCGACCAAAATACAGAGGAAATACAGAATGCTTTCAAGTTTGCGATGTTGCAACACTCCAATAATGCGAACAAATCCAACCTGGACTTTCAGCTCTATGTTGATATTATCAACACGGCCGACGCCTTCAAACTGTCACGACTCAGTAAGTGCATTTTCCTTATTTTTAGATAATACACTAAATGGAATTGCAATCACTCCGTGAATTGAGGAAATTTCAATTTTCCCAGGGGATTCCATTATAAATGGCTCAAAGCTATCTATTCCTGATTGCTCAACTTTTAACTAGATCTGACGAACCGTTATGGGGACGAAAAACTTCTAAATTAATCTCTTTTTACTTTAAAGGGGGCTCGTCAACTATTTCGTGCATAATGCTAAAAACGGTAACGATAGCAGTAAATATGTACAATAAAGTATATAGTATTATGATATACCAAATATCCTTAACATGTTACAGAATAATGAACCTTGTTATAAATGGAATTGTAATTCATAAACCTTTAAAGTCTAATAAACAAGTTAATGCCATTCTTTAATATTTTTTCCTACAGTTATTACTTTATTGATAAGAAATAAAATTATTTCGACGACAAAGAGCTGTGTTGGAGCAATTAGTCTCATTACCTCTCTTTAATGATACTAATTGTTCCGTTGCATCATTTTAACTGCAACCATTTTATGTAAATTAATTACACTGTCTACCTAACTTAGCATATATATTATGTACAAAATTCATATTGATTACCTTACACTTTATTATTGAGCTAAAAGTTTGTTTGTTTGAAAATTATATGGAACTTCTGGTCCATTACCTAAAAATCACGTGAAAATATTGAGAAAACCTCTACTAGTTTCGAACCACATAGGGGTTCTAGGGTAAACTGCGCGACATCGCCGCAACCGCGTACGCTGCTCAAGAGGAAGAACCTCTCTGTGGTTTGAAACTAGTAGAGCTTTTCACAGTATTTTACGCGAGTAACCCGCAATTTTTAGTTAATTTAGTATGCCTCATGATAGTTATGAATTACTGGTCCAATTTGAATAATCCTTTTTGAGAAAGCTTATAAAACATCACCGAGAGCCACGCGGGTAGCAAGTGCAGTCATAAAATTGCACTCTCAGACCCTATTGTCACTAGTCCAAGAACTAACAACATGTCTGGTGTCTGCGACTGTTTTTGAGAATAAGTGAACTTCACTTTATCTTTGCTACATTAAATAGGTATATTATAGAAAGGAAGGATTTGAAAGATATATTGGTCAGATATTTAGGAGAAATTATATTACAAAATACGATAGTCGACAACTAGTCAAATTCATCATTTTTTTGGAAACTATCTATGGACTTTATATGAGACTTATAGCTTGTGACGTCATCTAATTTTTGCGTTAAATAGAAATTTATTACTAAAATAAAAAGCTAGAAAAGAATCGGTATGAAGTATATCAAACGTTATTAAATGAAATAGTAGATATATTTTAATATTTAATTGTATCGAAAAGTTGAAATAATTTAGTTTTGACTGAGGAAAATACCCAGTATTGATAGGTGTGACGTGCCTACAACTTGGCGCCTCCGGCATTAACACTGGTTAGTTACTGTAGTTTTGATTGAAGGACACTTCAATCTCAAGCCGGCTTTTGACTATAGATTAATAATTCTGTTTCAATTAGTGTAATTGACTAATAATTTATTCATCTACACAAAAACAAGTATACATTGGTGACATTGGGACTATTTTGAATTAATAGTACTGCAGGAAAAGCTAGTATATTGTATGAAATCAGAAAAGCTAACGAATGTTGAAGGTACGTACGAAACTCAGTACTCTCAAAGTTTCGGAGTGCAATAATTGAATATTTCGTAGAAAACCACTCTTCTTTTACTAGACTTGGAAAAGTTCGAGAAGTTTCTTCAAAACAACTGTGCGAGCCGTCAATACTCGTTATAACTAATATACAAAAATGTTTTCTACGTCCGCGTGCGTGTTGTGGTTGTTTGGTCACCAGAAATATGTTACTTACAGATTATTTAAGGAAATTGTCGGTGGGAATCGAAACTGTTTTGTGCAAAAAATATAACGATGGCGTACCTTATTGGTCCCACAAATTAGATGTATGTGCGAAACTGCCAAAAATTATATGGCATTGTTTCTTATAATAAGTGGTTCATGCTGAAGGGTATAATTTACATAACATAACATCACACCCTTTATCCCCGAAGGGGTAAGCAGAGGTGCACATTATGCCATGTACAATGTAACACCCACTTTTCACTATTTATGTTACGAGTCCCATGTAATAGGGGGTGAGCCTAGTGCCATACTGGGCACAATTCCAGACTACGTGCTACTACTGAGATTTTTTTTTAAAAACACAGTAATAATTTGCCCGACCCGGGAATCGAACCGGAGACCCATTGCCCGGCAGTCGCACCTGCGACCACTCGGCCAACGAGGCAGTCAGAGGGTATAATTTAATTTTAACAATATTTAGACTTAAATAACTTGAGAATTATGTGCTAGGTACTTGCTACTAGACATAACGGTTTTTTATAAAAAATGCAACTTACTTCCTGGTTATCAAATTAACAAGAATTTGTTCATGTTGAACTATTGAAAATAAGGACACGTGTGTATAACTTCAGACGCGAAACAATGTTTATAGTAGGTACATATAATTATATAAAACAAAAAGTTGTATTCAGTCGACGGCAGAAAATTTAAAGATAAACAGCATAAGTTTCGTCTGTGTTGAGGTCAAGAAAATTAAGTTTGTATTTTGTGGTGTCCTCCTTGACACAGAGCTCTCATTTGAATGCAAGACCTTCCTCTCTTTTTATTTCGCCTCGTCACGCGACGCTGATCAAAACACTTTTGGGCGGTGCTGCGTGAATTTTCGAAACAACCGTTTGTACAACACATTTTTGAGGTGAAACTAGAGTTCAGAAGTGTAAAAACATTTAGATCTAAGCGATCAAATCGATTTTATCAAAATAAAAAGTGAATATAGAGTAACCTAATATGTATGGTAACTTTTACTTATCTTCAAATCTTCTTACCAAAATAATGTCAATGTAAAAGCTTCGGATGAATAATGTGGGCGAGGAAAGTGCTAGTGAAAATGGTTCTTTAATAAAGTGTTGAGTAGATACCTGTTCAAAATTATGCGCATATATTATTTTTGGGTCCAAGAATACACACTATGCTATGGACAATGTAAATTCACAAAAGACATGCGAAACTAGAGTTTCAGTTTTTATACATTGTGTACGGTTCTGAACAACGATCCTCTTTAATGAATATTACGAATATAAGAAATAAAAAAGTCTAGAACCTTATAATCCTAACTGCCTAACTACAATTTTACTTGCAATCTGTACAAAGATAAGTTCGTGATTTATTTGGCAAAGCCGTAATATTGTGTAGTAGACAAGATTTGATCGATTTTATAAAGGAAGACGTCAATTCACATCGTCACAATAGCAAATGAATACAATCGCGTTTTTGATACAGAGCTGTGAGCGAACACAAAAAGGTCACCTCAGGCGCTATTTTTAGTATTTTGTTGTAAAACGCTTATAATAGCGTTATCAATCTCTGTGAAGTAACAATGTTCAGTATTTTGTTTCAGCAATAACGTTAATGCAATGTAATCAATTTTTAACAAAAAAAAACACGTTTAAAAATCATGTAAATTAAATATTACAAACAAGTTGTTACACGAAATACTGAAATATAGATATAACTACCTGTAAAGTGAAGAAAGGCAAGCACAGTGTCAAAGCATCAATGTGAATCATATTACGATTAAATCATCATCAAAAATTAAGACCATGCAAGACCGCAACTTTGGTTTTTTTCCGCATGTGGTCAACCGCCAATACCCCGACTATGGTTATAAACCGTAAAACCATCTATTGACAGTACGTATAACAAATTAATGTGCGAACACTTACATATTGCTATGATTGCTCTTGAAATACGACAATCGAGTTCATTTGTAAACGAAAATTGGTATTTTTATAATATATAGGAAAGTAGGATTATTTCTAAACTTACCAACAAGATGTAATTTTCGAGAAAATCCGCGGCAAGAGAAATTCATAACAATATAACGCAACAATTTCCTGAAAAGCTGCAGCTAGGTAGAAGATACAAAGTAAGTAGCTACCCATATTTTCTAGGTTCTGAGCTTGTATTTGATGGTGTAGCCTGCCGCGTAAATATATTATGTACATGGAGCTGTTAAGTACTGAAAATATCCAGAAAAACAAATAACAATTTTTATTATATAATCGTATTAACTTGATACGAGTGTTTTAGGTATTTATAGAGTTCAATATGCGATATTTCATTTGATATTGGTATATTACTTTTCCTAACCTTTGATATATATATTATTGTCGTCACACTTGTCTTTCAATTGGGTTAAGTACAAAACAGAACGTCAAATAAGGTGTTTCTGTCATACATCTTTTCTTCGTCTAAATTTTTTCATTTTTGGCATTTCAGATTTCGCTTATTATAGTTTTACCATGTCCATTTGTATGTCTAGTTTATTAAACTGACTTTTTTAAATATGACTATGAAATGTTTTAAAATATCAAAATCATTAAATGTTTTGTTTTTTTTTTAAGGTGATAGAAATGTCGTCTGTAGATAATGAGGTGGTTGTGAGATCCTATATACAGGGTATGCAGTACGCCAGCTATGCACTAGCATGACTCGCGTTTGTCTTAGTAGACATTCCACTAAGAATTTTAAAACAAAACAAATTATTCTTCATGTATATTTGCCTTAAATGAAAACTGACATTTATTAAAAAATACATAAATAATTAGCTTTTCTCGATATCTATTGTGCTTGTTCATTAAATAAGACATAAATTATTAATTCATAATAACGTAGGACACGTGTACGTATGGAACAATACACGTACCTAATTAATTGTGTACGTTAATGTCTGATACATTCTGAACTCGTTTTTTAGCCAAACTGCCTAGTTTGACTAAAATATAGGTGAACTGAAACTCATTCATAACTCAAATGTATAAATGAGCATTTTTTATATAAATGAAAAATCCAGTGAGCTTTGCATTCATCGTAATATTCACTGCTATATCAATACGTATGTGAATGTA